CTGTCCCGGCCCTGTTAATGATTTTTTCTATTCAATTAATATCTTACTGCTTCAGTTTCTTGAGATTATTTATATAACAATTAACGTCAGTTAAAATAAAAGTCCTTTTGTTTAAAACGTCGTGGAGAGTCATACAAAAGAAAGGCTAACATCTGTTATTCCAGTACCAGTTGGAAGCAAATTTTTAAATGATTCTTGAAGATTTGCATGGTTGTGTTTTGAGTATTAAACCAACAGACACTTTTAATCACTACTGAATAAAGTTTTTCGCTTACGTTTTCCCACATTTTTCGGCTTCCTTCCGACTTCACCAACTTTTTTTTAAAAATTAAATCTGATGAATTTAATTCAATTAATATGAGAAAGATACTAGTTTATTGTACTAAAAATCCAGCAATTATCAGCTTAAGTCATTAGATGGTACCAAACTATTTAAAATTTTATACTACTGTTACTGGTGTGTTAAATTCAATAATCTGGGGGGATTCAGTGGCTTAGTGGTTTTCTTAATAGTTCAGTTTCAATACATCGACGATATCAAATTTAGCAAAAACAATTATTTAATAGCGAATTATATAATACAACTTGACTCTCTAGAACAGGGGTTTCCAACTTACATGCTGCCGGGAACCGTAATTAAAAACATCAGTCAAATGGCTGGCCGCAACTTAATCAAAATTTCGTATAGGACTCTTTTATGTTTGAAGGAACATTAAATATTACTGTCAGATTTTTGTCAAGTTGTACAAAACAAAAGTATTGAATTACAAATTAAAATAAGAAGAAGATTTGTACCTGAGAAAAAAATCTTTTTGCACCGTTGGTATGTTAAATTTCACAGAAACAAAAAAGTTAGGTTTTTTTTCTAACGAAGAAAAGTATTTTAAACCCACGTAGATTTTTTACGAAAATTGTCTGTAAAAAAATGACAACTAATATATTTTAGTTCGCGGGTCACAAAAAAAAAGCTTCGCTGGTCACCAGTTGGTAACCACTGCTCTAGAAGTACGAGTGAAGGAATGCATCTTGACATACAATGAATGAAGGAATGCATCTTGAGGAGCTCTCTCTCTTCGATCTTATGCTCACAACGTCCTCTCAGTTAATTTAAGTTCCACAAATTATATAAACATTAGGGCAAAGAAAATTGAAGATCTAACTTATACATTGCAGAATTGTCAATGCACACAATGAATTTTGAAAACTTAAAAACATAGGTGTAATTTACACTATAATTATTGATATATTATTAAAAAAAATCGTTAACTTCAAAATTGAACTTAGTATCGCGAGACCTTTTTGGCTTTCGGTTTTTCTTCTGTGTCAAAACACTTAATGATAATAATAAAGCAACAAGATAAATGAGTTGCAATTTTTAAAAAAATTTAATCACTTTTTTTCGTATCTAACTTGTTTGTCTCATTACTTTCTCAGTTTATGTATTTCGATTACTGTTAATTTATGTTTCGACAATGAGGAAGATTCTTGTTTTTAAAACCGAAATTATTCTAAGTCCATTTTTGTTCATTCAGTTGTGCTTTCTTCATATTGTTTTGCATTATTTATCATCAGAAATGTCTTAAAAATTATATTTTTTTAGTAACTAAAAATAATATTGTTTATTTTAGTAAAATGTATGAAAATCAGTAAGTGTTAAGCATTGAACTTGACAACATTGTTTGACTTAGTTGTCACGCAATATCAACAATCGTCAAAAAATAAGTCCAGAAAATTAAAAATAATATATAAAAAAGGTGGCAAATTATGATTAGAGAATATTTTTTCCTTTTAAATTTTAGCTTCTGCTTTTGAAAATAAATGTTTTTTGATAATCATAATTTTCATTATGCATATTTACTTCTACGTTGAAACTAAGCATAAGACGTTTATCAAATTTTCAGAAGTTAAAAATTCTAAAATGTCACTGACTGTTTTCTTACTTTTTTAGGGTTTCGCATATTTCAATAAACTTGAATATTGAATATATTCACTTTTTGAACGATACCCAGACCTAAATTTTAAGATTAAATGACAAAAATCACTTTTATTTTCTTTCTAGTTTATTTTCCTTATATGCACATATAACTTTATACATTAAGAAAAAAAAATTTTATATTTTGATTTGAAATAAAGTTTGTATCAAATCTCATAATTAAAATCAAACTCATGTATTAAATTCGCCTAATCTCAATTTTCCGATACCAGCAAACGATATTTTTAGCAGAGCTTCAAAATCCAATCAAATTTTATGCTTTTTAACAAATATTTCGATTAACTACTATCTTGCTGAAATAATGAAAGTTAAAACCACAGAGCTGCAGTAATTGAAACGAAGACATTCGTGTTCGAAGAATGTTCGAAATTCATGTGCATGGAATATTCTATTTCAAGTACCCAGGAAACAAAACCAACGTGACTTGATGAAGTAAAAAGAATCATATTACTAAAAGAGAAAATATGATATTGCTGCCGTTCATTATAGTCGCTCGCTTTCTCCTTAAAATTTTTTGTTTAATTTTGTACAGCTAACACTTTCAATCACTTTTCATTTCAGCAATTTACCTATCTTTATTTCTATCTCTTTAATATTTATTTTTCTTTTCTTTTTGATACAAGAAGACTACACGAAAATTGTGAAGTAGAATTTTTTTTTTGTCGTTTTTTTTTTGCAATTAATATTGCGTTATGTTAGACTTCAGTCATTAAATGAGAACCCGTTATCAACCACATATCTTTTCGAAGTAATTTATATTAAGTTCTTACCGAAAAAATACAATTTTGTAATTTTCATTTAAGAATCTGTTCGCTATTTGAAGGTTGGTAAATCATTTGTACGGTAAAAAGAAAGATTTATTTATTAATTGTTTTATTTAAATATAATTTTAATATTTCATATGTTTTTTTAAAATAACTATTGTCTTTTAAGTATTGCATTATTTCGTTTCCTAAAATAGATTTTTCATTTGCAATATGAAAAGCTTACTATTCATTAATTTTCCTTGATTGTTTTATTATTTGTAGACTTATTTTTTTACTCCTTTTAATAAATCGAGCCTAATTTATATTAGTACATTTGCTTAGAAAATTTTAAAAAGTATAATTTATTTACTCTATTTTTCTCTTTTTAGCTTTTAGCATCTTGTACTTTTGTTCATCAAATTCGAAAATTATTATAATGACAAACCTATAATTAAATATTATAATTCAAAATATGTTTTATTCTTAATTCTCATCTTAGATATTTCATTATTTTGAATAAATTGTTCAGTAATGATTCTCTAAGAGTTTTTTTTTTAATTTTTAATATTTGTATATTAAAGCACGAAACAGCAATAGCAAAACTGAGCTATACATTCACTGAGAGAAAAATATTGCCGAAATTACCAGAATATGAGAAAATTTACGATGCTTCTGGCTCTATGAGAGCACTAAAATCCTCGGTTATTTTTACCGAAACGCTTTGATAATGATTTTGGTAAAATTAATAGTAAAATATAGTCTTATGATGTGTGATGAAATTTGGTAAATGTGGTAAAATTTTATAATTTCAGCATGATACTTTAACGCATGGCATGTTAAAACATTTATTCGGTTAAATTTACTTTTTAGATTTTTTATTTTTTTACTAAATGTATGGTAATAAGAACTATATTTTTGAAAACTAGAATTTCCGGTGAATTATTTTTCGTACCGTATATTTTGGTTTTAATAATAAGAATTATGGTTTTTTATTTTTCTAAGAATGTCATTACCATACAGCACGATTATTTTACCATAATTTACGTGTTTTTCATTATACAGAAAGAATTTAAAGTTGCAGCAATATTTTATTATGATAGAGATTAATTTTTGAAATTAACAATTATTTTTACAGCTATTTCTTACTTTCTCTAAATTCTATTATGTATGATCGGATCATATCCCAATTTATAAGTGTTTGCCATTGTATTCTTTTTGCACCTTAAGGAAAATAAACTTATTTACTTATTCATTTTGGTTCAATTATGTAACTACAGGTTAGTTAAAATGCTATTTTAATAACGTTTGCTAAAGCAAGACTTAACATTTCTGGTTCAATAACACATAACCAAAAAAACAACTGAATTTTTTACGGTTTCAATCATCAATAATTTGATTTTTTTTAAACTTTCTTTTTTGCGTTATGCGTTTTTGTATGTAGTTTGAGGCTTTTTACTAGTTATTAAGCTTTTCTACGTAGAAAAAAAAATTTATTTTTGACGTGATGTATTTGAAACCTTGACATTAATTGCTGAGTTGAGGAATGTTAAGACAATAATAATAACACATGCTAAGTATACACTCACTTATACTCGCAACTCGTAGTCAATCTAAGAAGAGAATATCAAAGATATCTTCACTTTGATGATTATTGTACATACACTCTCATATTTTAACTCGCAACTCGTAGTCAATCGAAGAAGAGAAAATCAAAGATATCTTCACTTTGATGATTATTGTACATACGCTCTCATATTTTAACTCGCAACTCGTAGTCAATCTAAGAAGAGAAAATCAAAGATATCTTTACTTTGATGATTATTGTGCATACACTCTCATATTTTAACTCGCAACTCGTAGTCAATCTAAGAAGAGACTATCAAAGATATCTTCACTTTGATGATTATTGTACATGCACTCTCATATTTTAACTCGCAACTCGTAGTCAATCTAAGAAGAGAAAATCAAAGACATCTTTACTTTGATGATTATTGTGCATACACTCTTATATTTTAACTCGCAACTCGTAGTCAATCTAAGAAGAAAAAATCAAAGATATCTTCACTTTGATGATTATTGTAAATAATAATATAATAGTACTGAGATACGTTTTTTCTTCTTCTTTTTTTCTGTTTTTAAAAATTTCAAAGTATTAAGAGAAATAATAGAAATTTTGATTCAAAAATATTAAAAATAATTTAGATCAAAATAGTTCGTTTATAATTTAGGTCATTGCATATAAATGTAAATTGGAAATATTCTAAAATATTTCTTTGTTTTAATTTCAGGACTGAAAATGATTTATGAATGTATGGTTAGTCCTCATCCTCCGGATGTTAGGGCGACCATTTAGAAAGGTGAGTTTTTCCCTTTTTATCCCTCTTCTTTAACTTATTTTCCCTAAGAAAAGGAATAAAGATATATTGTTGCATGAAGTAAGTTTTTATAAAAGTGGGACATGAGCTACAAGCCGCATGATTGATAAATAATTATTTAGGTAAGTAAATAAGTTTTGCAATTTTTTAACTACCATTAAAATAAATGAATTAGCAAATTAATAGGCTGAATGTGAAATTTTACAATAGCAAACAATAAGCTTAAATATATCAACTTTTTTATAAGATCGTGTTTTCTTCTACTTAAATGTTTTAAATCCTAATAAAGCCAAACAGTTTATAGTTATCGTAGTTTAAGAATTATTTTTAATAATATATCTTAAATAATTCTTTTTTTTTAAAAAAAATTGACGATTTATGATAGTATTTAACATCAAATGTTATCAGTGGATTAATAAATACTTAATAATATAAATATATTTGAAAACTAGGATGTATTTCGTTTTATTATAACGGCAGATTTTTTTCATAATAGAATATAAAAAGTGTACTATGTCAAACAATAATTAATAAACTGTAATTAAACTAATTTTAACGATGAGTCAAAACATAATTCAGAAAGGTATTATGTTCTATCCAACGTTATAAAATAGTTTATCCATGTTCTTAATAATAGCTAAATTGAATTATAAATTATTTTATAATTTTTGCAACCCAAACTCGATAGGAACGATACTTATGAAGTAATATTATTATGGTTTTAACCCGTAAAACTGCCACAACGTAGGAGAGGCTTAGTCATTCAAAAGAATGTAGTCCGGATTCGACGTAAATAAAAAAAAATACATAGTATCATAAATCAAGACCAAGGGATCAGTCGATAAAAGGTGAAACACGCGAGACTAAATTCCACACTGCTGGAAATTTCTAGGAAAAAATGGTTAAATAGCAATTTTTTGAGTGGTTATTTTACCATATATAATCAAAACAGTCAAATAACCATAAATAAAATGGTAATCAAACTGAAAGTTTGAGAAAACTGTTTATTAACAGCTTTCACCTAGTACGGTTAAACAACCAGAATTTTATCGCATCAACTAGAACGACCTAATGAAGCTACTTAGTTCTTTGTAAATGCGTACATATCATAGCCGAGCGGGTTTATCTGTTAATCTCATGACCGGCAGAACTGGTGTCCGAGTCCTAGTTTTGACACCACAATATTTCCTCCCTTCCCTTCAACACATGAAGAATTTCCAGTGTCCGGCACTCTCCAATGCCCATTACCTTACGAAAAGCCGAGCTCCTACGTCTATTTAAATAATAATTTATTTTTTTTTACGTTTTTGAAAAATTTAGTAGTAAATGATTAAAAAACCGTATAGTTTTGTATTCATTGTTTTATAACCGTACTTTTTGTAAATGGTTTCAAAACCAGAAAGGAAAAAAATGTTCTTTACCGTAAACTTTACGGTTAATTGGATGGGCAGACAGCTGGCAGTTATTTTACCATAATTTTAGAAGGAAAATTTTATCAGTGCACCCCGGCCGATATGCATGGGTGATGGGTGTTCTAGTACAACATATGAAGAATATTTTTCTGAAGTTTAAAGTCAATTAGAGTAAAACTCTATAAGAAAGAGTCAGTGCAAATTTTTCCTGTCAGGATAAACTTACCGGGATCACAGAAAGCAAGATAAGCGTAATTTTACAGTAATAATTAGAGTAACATCGCTCAATGATACAGTAATTGCAATATACTCAATAATTGCAGCAACAGTGAATCACTCGAATTAAATAAATAATACTATAAAGATTGCGGTATAATAATTTACAATAAAAATGGATTTTACAGATGATACACCCAAAATTTTAGTACTTTATATCGCAATTTGATCCGAAATTTTTTACAGTGCATGTTTAGTTAACAGAGTTAAAAACTGTTGAAGTTGATTTAATCTGTCATTGCAAAAAATGGTACTTTTGAGATAAATGTCATTTGCTAGTGTTTATTTTATCTGCACTGTTGTATAAAGCGAGTTTTTTCCTAATTATGTATATATCATTTTCAACTTAAATATAAACAAATGAAGAAACATTACTATATCAAAGGTAAGGAAATTTTCTAAAAATGAGCATTTTATTTTGTGCTTATTTAATTTCAGTGGATTTTGAAGATTGTTGGATAGAAACAATTAATGCATGTTGATTATGAATTATTTCTGAATTTAAGCAATGTTCGTCATACATATAAAAACATTTAATTGCTTATAGTTTTGATCCTGTTTTCTAGCAATTTCTGTAATAAATTTCTAAACTAAAATAACGATAAAACGTTTTCATTCGTTTAACTTCAGCAAACTTTATGTAACAATGAAAAATTTCTTTTTTCTTGGAAAACAAGTTACAAGCAACACCAAAATATTCTTAATTCAATAAAAACATTAAAAAGCTTCTCAAAGTTTTTTTTTTTTAATTTTCTTACTTCCCCGGTCTTATGCGTAAATTAGAAAGTTTTAAAAAAAATTCTTAATTTTCTGACAAACTTCTTTTTGAAAAACGTTTTTAAAACTTCCCTTTATAGTTTCTAACTTGAAGGGAAATTAGTTAGAAGCTTTTCAAAATAACTCTCTAACTATTAAATGTCATAATGTCTTGACAGGCTTTCTTGAAATATTGTAAATTTTTTACTAAATGTGTTAAATTATTTATTTAGTTAAATGAATTTGTGGAACAATCTACATAGAGTAAACAATTCTGGTAAAATTTCCATACATGTATATTAATTTTCTATCATATTTGTATGGTATTTTGCTTGTAAGGTAATGATCTTTCTGGTAAAAGAGGAAGAAAAACATAACTCTGGTAATAAAACTAAAGTAAACGGTTTTTAAATTATTCACTACGTAATTTATCCGTTTCTGTGGTAACAATTAAATTCTGTTTAACGAAATTATAGTTTTTATTACTATAAATTTAGTAAAAAATACAAAACTGAAAAGTAAATTTAACAAAATAAATGATTTTTATGCAATGCTAAGGTATCATGACACAATTACCAAATTAACCATATTTACTTCTCAACAGATTGACAATAAAACTGTATTTCATTGTTAATTTTTCGAAAAGTCATGATCAAACATTACCGTGCTATGGCAAAGAATAATATTAACACTTATTTGACTGTACATCGTCTAACTCGCATAGAAAAAAATCTAAATTTATGACACTAAATAATTTTAACATTCGTTCCCCCTACTTGTAATGCGAATAATAATTATATCATTCATTTCACTCAGGTTAATGTTGTGAGACTGGTACGGAAGAAGGCTTGATTAATATTCTTTATAAGTTAGAAATACTGCCAAAGATTTTTCAAGAAATATCAAACGTTGCTTATGCAATCATTATAAACGTAAAAGAAATTTTTTTTAATACACAACAAAAAATTTAGAAGATATTTTTAAATTAAAATTTTGTGAAGAAACAGAAACCATTATCTAAGCCTCTGATTTTATAAGTTCCTTAATTATGATACACATCGCCTGACAGGATATTCTATAATGCATTAATTTCAGCAATTATAATGGTAATATTATTTTAATAACATTGAATTATTTTATGCCCACCCCATTACTATTGCACTGGAGCACATTCATGAAAAAATTATTTTATATGGACGTTGTTAATTTGAAATTTTTTTTATTTCTTCCTTGGAATAAATTCTTCAAGTGCTTAGAATGGACGATGCTGCTAACTGGGACCTCAACTCTCTCCGAGAAGAAGAATTCGATACTCTAGCAGTTTATCTTGTGAGAGACCAGCCATGTGATGAAGACTGCCCGAACAGGGCAGAGGCTAGTTTACCCAGAAATCTCATAATAAGAGCTGCGCCCTCTCTCGGGGGAGATGTAAGTGAATTTTTTTTTATATTTATATGTCAATAATTTTAAACTCTTAGTTTGATTTAAAATTTTAACAGTTTAAGATTTAAAGTATTCAAAAATATTATGTATAATCTGCCTTAAGTATTCAATTATCAATTGACTTCTTAGGTGAACAAGTTATTGAAGCTACTACTGCTGTTACTCTTTATATAGAAAATATGATATTTTATTAATGTGTATTTTGTAAACAAATCAAAAGTGGTAACTTAAGAAGAGGCGTTTTCCTGAAGCTAAATTTGCTGTTTCAAAAATTCTGATCTGCTACTCTGGCGTATCAATTCACAACTGCTGCTTTTCTAATTTTTATTAGACCACCTTTTTGTTGTCCTTTTCTTGGAAGCCATTATCAGATGCCACGAGAATACCAATCTAAGACGTTGTAGGTCCAGTGATGGTCAGTTCGAGATGCATGGACAGCCCCTATAACTTGAAACTGTTTTAATCCCTTATCTCTTTCGGTGACGTCGAAAGCCTATGTTATCGTGCCCATGTTGCACTCTCTTAGTCATTTCTAATAATAAGCAATCTTCGATACTTTTTGTGGGATTTTAAATCTATAATATGTGGTGTTTTAAATAGATTTCCAAAGTATCTGCCCCATAAGGACGTACGGGTAACATCCTTGAATTGATATCTTTAATCCACTGACGAAGTGGCATATTACTCTTTAGTTATGCCATTTTTGAAAAAAGAAAGAAAAAGAAACTCAACCCGATTTCGATTCTTCTGTAGATTTCATGCTTACTTATTCTTCCTCTGTTCTTTATGTTACCTCCCTCTTTACCCCTCGTTTCCTCTCTACTCGTGTACCAATCCCGTATTTAAGGGGATTTCAATAACCACCTTTCAAAGTTCCTCTGTTTCCTCTGATAATCAAACAGGTTTCGTTGTTGCCGATCCTATATTTTTTTAATATTGATTTGTTTCCCGACGCAACTTAAAGTAATTTCGAACAATCACCTTCAAGTTATCTTTGTTTTTTTTTCCGGTAACCAAACAGGTTTCGCTGTCGCCAAACTCATATTTTCAACGTTAGACTTCAAGAGCGTCTTTGTTTTCTTCCGTGGAAAAATAAAAATTTGAGACCTCTAGTAAGTATATATGTTACTTTTCCTTCGTTAATTATTTGACACATAGCTCCTTTATCTAAAATATTTTTTAATTTATTGAAATTTTGCAGACAAGACAGGATTTAAGGAGAAAGTCTTCGTAGACCAAGTGAAGTGAAAGTTATAAAACATCCCAAGTCTAAATTATGAAAAATATTAAATAATTAAAAATTCTAAGCATAAATTTACGCTTTACACAATCCATCGGAAATTTTCAGCTAAAATAAAAATTAGTTTGGTGCATTGATTTTGCAACCGCAGTTTTCTCATTTCAAAATTTTTATTTATTTGGCTTCATTTAAAACCACTTCAACACAACAAAATTTGGAAAAATCAATAAAAGAATTCGGATTTGAAGACTTAAAATATTGAAGAGATTTTCTGTTTCTCTCCAATAAATAATTCATGACTTTTTATTCTCCTTTCTAAAACCTTTTGGTTCTGGCAATAATTTTTTTAATGTTCGAGTATTTGTTAAGGGAGCATTTTCAGAACTTTAATTAAAATGCGGTAAACTAAATTTGAATAATGAAACAGCTCTCAGTACTCCAACGTCGGAAAATTTGGAAAGTTATAAGGAATGGTGAAATACTTTAATTCTTTTGAGTTTCCATTAAATCTATGCACCAGAAAAAGAAAGAAATATGTATATTTGGCGAGGATAAACACTTTTCCGAACCAAAGGAAAAGGAAACGACTAATGAAATGAAAACTTTTTCTTTTCTTTTCAACGTCTTTTGTCTTTTTAATCCTCCAAGCTTACTGCAAGACATATTGCGTTTTTACTTTTCAATACAATAGCATTTTCTGTTAGAGATGCCGGATTAAAGTCGGGGCTGTACGGAGGGTGTTTTTTTACCTGTTATTCTTTCATTTTATCATCATTCGAAGCGTAAGAGAAAATTTTATTCCAAAACGAAAATTCTCTCCAGACAGATCTCTATTATTTAATAAATCCCTTTTTGAAATAGCCATTGTTAGACATAAACCGAAGACGTCTTAACTGTTTTTGCGAAGAAGTTAAAGATTACTGTTGCGAAAAAAAAATTATGCGCATTTTATTCAAAGAAAAGTTTTTTTTTATCGAGGAAAATGTTAGAAGTCGTCAAAAAATCGCAAATACTAAAGTCTGAAATAATGGTGTTGTGGTTTCCTTGTTAAGTTTATTAAGAAATGCAAAGTAATCAAAAGTTAAAAATTACTGCTTTAATTTTTATTCTTCGAAATTTTATAAATTAAGGAAGGTTGTATTTAAAGTTACCCTCTAAGGATGCATAATGTCAGTTCCATTAAACGAGTATTTAGGAAATTTGGTAAACAACGGATAACAAAAAACAGAAATCTACAGTTTTAATTTCGAAAATTTTTTATACAATATAAGAAGATTTTATTCAGATTTTTAGTGATTTAAAAAGACATTAGTTACTGTCATAAAATTTCTGCAAGATCATACGGGAAAAGGAAGAATACTAGTTGAGAGAGCCACTAAAAGATCATAAGAGTAGAGAAAGGATGAGGGATTCTGGTTGTAGGAATTCCTGAAATATCGCGTGTGTAGAGGAAGAATACGAACTTCTGGTTGAAAGAACCACTGAAAGATCATATGAGTAGAGAATGCATGCGAACTTCTGGTTGTGAGGATTCCTAAAAAATCAAACAGTGGAGGAAGAATACAGACTTCTGGTTCAGAGAATCACTGAAAGATCATATGAGTAGAGATAGCAGGAGGACTTCTGTTGTAAGGATTCCTAAAAGTTCATGAGTATAAATGAAGCGTACAGATTTCTGGCTGTGAGGATTTCAAAAAGATTATATGTATCGAGAAAGTGAGTTAACTCCACCATAGATGAAAACAAGCACATGTAGCTGCAATTGATCAAGAAATCCTTTAGGCTACTAATAAACCTAACCCATATTTGAGTAGCATACAGAGGAAAACAACGAAAATCCTCTTACTGTTAATCCGAAAGTAAAAAAATTCTAACACACAATCAATCTACTAATAGGGTTATTATACGTCAGTTTTGTGATCTTTGCAAGCCGGAAACAAGTCGGTTAGCCATTTCCGTGATTGAAAGTTGAGTCAGCGAGAACTCTATTGATCACGTGCTGTTTTCAAAATAATGCACTTTGAATTTATTACGCGTGTTTTAGTTCATAATACTCTCCTGCTGTCCACCTGGTGGTCGAAGTTGGAACCATTATTAATTGTTCTAGATTTCTTTTTTTTTTCCTTTTGATATAACGCATGTACATTTTATCATCGTGAAATTATCGTTAGGGAATTTATGTAGATCTAAATAAAATAATTTTATTAACTATACCTTGTATATTTTTTTAGTTGTATTTGATCAAAGGGGCAATGGAGGTTAAGGTTCCTCAATTTTGAGATCAATGGCGTGATGATGGCAATGTGGTTAGAATTGCGCATCGACCGCTTTCACAGACAAACTAGTACCTATCGATATGATACCTGGTAAGATTCAAAACACCACTGGGATAGAGCCCCGACTCAAAACAATGACAACTCAGTACTTTAACCATTATGCCATCGCGTCTTGAATTAATATTTAAAAATAATATATTTCATTCATCAACCAAAATTTTAATAATAACTTACGGTTTTACTAATTCGTATATTAATGATTAAACCGTTAACAAAAAAAAAACTTTTTTTCAAATCATATCCATAATTTACTGTCATAAAAATGAATTAAAAGTTGATTTATAATATTGATACCTCAAACTAATATATTCTGTAAGCATGGCTTTTTTCATACTTTTAACGAATTTCATTAAAAAAACCTGTTAGAATTTAACATAAAATTGTGATTAAGCTTACGTTTATAGATTGAGGAAATTCATATTTAAATTTAATACTTTTAATGATTTGGGTCAAATACCATAAAAACAGACTCAAAAAATTCCAATAAAGCTTACGTTTATAGAAATTAATCATAGAAATCTATACTATTGTTTTATGTTTTTAACAATTTAAACACAACACGTCTGAATTTGTTCATAAAACTGTGTATACGTTTATTGTAATAAACTGTAGAAATTCCCACTTTCTTTAAAATTATTTTAATACAGTTCTAAAAATTTTAGTGAATCAATAACTGTTGGAATTTATTCACAAAATTTTAATAAACTTTACGTTAATAGATTTACACAATAGAAATTCATAGACTGCAAAAAAATTCTTTATCAAATTACGGTAGTAAGTTCCGACAGTCAGGGTGTCGGTACTTTTTACCATAAAATCCATTATAACCGGATCATTTTATGGAACCAAAAATCTGATATACCGTAATTTTTACAGGAATAATTACCATAATATCCCCGAATCGCTCTAATTAAACAAATATTACTGTAAAATTACGAAATAAATACTTTACGGTAAAAATGGATATTACGGATAAGGCAACCAAAGTGCCGATACTTTATGCCATGAATTTTATCTGGAATTTTTTACAATGTGCTATAATTTTATACTTTTTAAAAGTTTCACCAAAGCCTGTGAGAATTTATTCACACCTCTCTTATTAAACACGAAAATTCAAGAATAAAATTTGACCTTGGCCTTGAATGAATGTCAATATCAAACTTGTGTTTTTTGATGATAAGATCCCGCATTTATCAGTTCTTGAACTTCAAAGCAACTGTAATGATACGTTTAATAGCGCTCTCTTTATATTTTGTATAGCCTAAAAAATTATTTTCTCAATACTTCTGACATAAAAATAAAAGTCCTAGTCTCAGCATTTTATTGATAGTAACAGTAAGACCTACATCTTATTGTTATCGTGGCTTATCTATATCGTGCCTGTTCGGTGACATTTACGTTTTCAGTATTATCTCAGTTTTAGATCATAATCATTTACTGTTGTAGCTACGAAAAGACTGGTTAAGACAAAAAAATTTGTTGATGACAAAAGTATACTATAGTTTCATAAAAGATCCATCAAATGTTCTAGTACGACCTAAAAAATATTTTAAATACGTTTCATCATTTTTGTTAGATACTGCTTTTAAAATGTGATTTATGATCTGGATGCAATACACATAAATTTGAGACGAATTCTTGAATTATCACGTTGCCTTTTATATTTATTTGAACACTTTTCAGGTTTGTTTGCAGATTGTTTTTTGAAACTTATTAACTAAATAACATAAAATGCATTTTGTTATTGATTATATCTATTTTATAAAATAAATTAATGAAAACAAATTCAAGATTTTATTTTCATGCTTTCGCAATTTTTCAAAATGTGTACCAACTTTTCTTGTTTTTTCTTTTCTTTTAAGAAATGTGTATTTTTTTGTAATTCATTAAAAAGTGTAGTTTAGTTAACTGAAAACAAATGTACCTTAGTTAACTATAAATAACTAATTTAAAAATTATTTGTTAATATAAAAAATTATCTCAATTAAGTTTTAGATATTGTTTGAAAATAATTTAGTTAAATCAGTTTTTCTTAGCTAGTTTAATTATATCACATAAAACTATTGTATAACATTACACTATAAGGTAAAGTACATTTTGCACAAATACTATGTTAAAAATATAGACTTCTAAAGTGTATAATATATGAAATTATGTTTTAATAACATACAATGTTCAGCGTAATATTCAATATTATGTAAAGAACATATTATATTATTTAATATTGGTTTCTTAGTTTTTTGTTAGTAAAAATTTCAATAATTTATTTAGTGTATCAAGATTAAATTTAATTATTAATCAAATACTTATTTTAAAAATAATTGAACATATTTTATATTCAAAAATTAACCATATTTTATATTAAATATCAAAATTTCTTTTGCTGAAAAGGCAGTTTTTTTCTAAAATTATTTTCTTGTGCTATGCTTTATTAGTTTTGTTTAATATAACGGTATTTCATATCATATAAAGAATGTAAAACAATGAAAAACAAAAAGTGCTTTTTAAAAAAATCTTTTTTCTTGAAACCTATTTACCAATATAAGTTTTAAACTGCGTAGCTATAGATATGCAATTTAGCAAACATGCCATATTAGTAAATGCAGTGTTACTATGTTTTTCTTTTGGTAAATAGAGCTTAGCAACAAATTGCTAATTTCATACAGCTATTTTCTGTTACCAAAATTCTAATTTCACCTCAATGCGTATCAGTATCAAAGTTTATTCCATATGTACTTAATATTATAAAATGCTGAAACAGGAATGTACATAATTTTCATTAATTTCAAAAGGCCTTGAAACATTGATAAGCATTCATTTCTGAAAACCTTGAAATACATAAATAAAATTATCAAATTCCAGTCAAATTAAAAACTGCCATCTTGGCCGAAATTGAAACTAATCGATTCCAGGGGTTTCTCATTTTGCTAATCAACTATGAAATTGCAAAATTCAGCAAATTAAACTAATTTTCCTCATCTTGTCTCGGAAATTTCAATTATCATGTAAACACTTTCTCTGCGCAGTTATACTACAAGTGATGATAAATATTGAAGATGAACAACCTGCGGCGATGATTGAGATTCATTTCTTGAATCACTTTATAAGATAAGAGTTCTTACACAAGAGAAAATAAGAAAAAAAATTACAAGAATAAAAATGATGGCTAGTTTGTAGCCTTGATCAAAGAATATTTTCATTACTTATTTGAGAAAAACAATATCTTAGCTTTTAGGCCCTTAATTCGACATCTTCAGGTATTTCGAGTACATATTATATTATATTATATTATATTATATTATATTATATTATATTACATTAATTTTCACGAGTTCTTTAAAAAAACCTATAATTAACTGCCTTTTTAAGAACATTTGATTTAACGCATTACGTACTTCGACTAGTTGTTTCATTGTTTATATTTAAATGTGAATAGTAACTTTATTAAATATATTAAGCTTTAATGAATAGATATTATAAGACAATCTTCATTTCTAATGTTAAAGAAATAAATATTTCCATAATAATTAGATGTATTTTTTTTCTATAACAACTATTAATATGATTTAATGAAATAATGCGTATTTTTTAATTTTGAAAATTTCTTCTTGTGTTTTGATAAATTAATGTAAGTTTATAATTTTAAGATACGTTTTGATTAACTTTCATGAAAGAGTAAGAAATTTAGTACCAGATATTTTTTTTGAAGAATTTTCTCATAAAACGTAATTTAAGATTAATTTTTAACAGAAGAATAGCTCTTTGTAAATTGATCTCTCAATGTTTAAATACACAATCAGGAAGAGAAGGTAAGTTTTGAGTATAACTATTATAGTTCAAATAATTAAAGCGATAAAATTTTAGTTTATAATTAGTTATCGCGTTCAATTTTGGTACAACATCATCAGTGTCAAAGCAAAGAATATATTCCTCTTCTATCTGTAGTCACGCTGATGATAGTACTTGATTATAACGATCTTCGTAGTACACTGTAAAATTTTTTAATTAAATTATGGTAATAAGATGAGCCAATACTGTTTACCGTAAAATTCTCCGAAACAAAAGATAAATGAATATTAAAGTTAAAATTACGTTTCAAAATTTTACGATAAAATGGATATTTGGATGCTTGTTGTTGTTGTAGTTTGATGACGTCACAATAGAGGTGCACAATGGGCTATTGGAGACGGTCTGAGAAACATTCCTGAGGAGGATCTGCAGACCTGCCGTCACAATTTTGATCCTCTGCAGAGGGGATGACACCCCCGCTTCGATAGCCTGACGACCTGCGTGCGAAGTCGAGTGATTTACAGTGAAACAGTTTAGCGAGGACCTACCCGCACACTGACCGCAGCCAGTGATTCTTGACTTCGTTGATCTGCTGGGAGCCGTGTTTTAACGATCAGTCCACTGCGGAAAGATGCTACACTCAAGCCAGTACTTATTCTTGATTTGATCCAGAATTTTTTACAGTGAACTGGAACTATAACATTCATGATTTTCGCTTTATTTAGGTTTAGTTTTACTTTAAGAACTTTGTCTCTAAGTTTATATAAAAATGTTATGTAAAAAAAGCGTTTCTAATGTTCTGCAATGTTTCAGGTTCAAGGAATATGGAGCACTGATTTTATTCCCAAGGGAACCCGGTTCGGTCCCTTGGTTGGCGAGGTGTATAGACAGGACGAAGTCCCACCTGAAGCCAACAGAAAGTTCTTTTGGAGGGTAAGTAAAATCCTGTATCGAAAAGTCTTGAGCTTTAGTCAAAATTAGAAGAAGAAAAAATGATCCGACAGAAATATATTTTCAACAAAAAAAAAAANAAAAAAAAAAAAAAAATCTACCTTAAATTATATATTTGGCTATATATTTCATTAAATAAAATGGGGAGACACTCCCACTGACAGTTTCTGAGAAATTGATTGATAGATTTATTTGAACGAGCTGCTAGCTTGAAAAACCAAAATTGGTATCGACAACACTGTGTCTCTTAAAAAAATAAATCACGAATTTCCGGAAAACGTTATAGCACATTATTTTATGCTCTATAAGCTTTCAAAAAAAGCAAAACAAGGGAAATGCAATTTAATAAGAAAAGGGCAGCGATATGACATCTTCAGAAAAATACTTGTTTACAATTAAAAATCACTAACTTCCGAATTTAAATAATTATACTAAAATTTAAAATTTTATGAATCCCTCTTAAAACTCAGAGTACGCATTTAGTGTTTATCTCATCAGTGTCAGTACTCATCGATAGTGGATGGAAACGAAGCATCTGCTCAAGCGAGCTGTACAGGGAATGATTTCTGTTGAGACAACTACTGAAATGAGAATCCTTTAACATGCCCAATCCTTTAACATGTGCCGGCTGAATACGACAGATGATCACTCTTCAATCGAACTTATACACCTAGTCTGTCATAACCTGCGCCATCTATTGGCACTTAAATGAGTAATTTTCGAACGCAAATTCTATAACTAGGCGAAAAAATTGCTTATTTTGGTCTTCTCCATCCCCTTTACAATTTTGCCAGATATTTTTAGAACATGTTGTATTTTCGAGAACTGGATATTTTTTTTAAAAACATCTATAAAAAAAGTAAAATTCTTCTCATATGTGTTTGAAACATAATTAATTTTCACCGTTTGACCTTCTTTATTAAAAAAAATAAAAGAAAATATCAGTAAAAACTCAATAGCTTCATCATTTACTTTAAATTTGAATTTAATGAAAAAATTTTAAACCATCCGATATACCTTAAAAATTTCGTCCTGAAAAAATTCATGCTGAGTACCTTAAAAATTTCGAAGAAAAATAAATAAAATTAAAAATATTTTTAGGTAAAAATATTTTTGGATCTTTCGATTTATGTCTTTACTTTCCGTGGTTTTGTACTTGTTGAAACTTCACAAACTGTAGAAGAATTTTCTTGTATATTTAGGTCTACAACTCGCTCGATTCCCCGGACGATTACTTCTACATTGATTGCTTGGATGTTCGAAAATCGAACTGGATGAGGTACGTCAACCCAGCCTATTCAACTGAAGCACAGACTCTTGTGGCTTGCCAAGTGAACCGTCAATTATACTTCTATACTTGCCGATCTGTACTTCCCAATGAAGAACTCACTGTTTGGTACTGCAAAGAATTCGCTCAACGATTGGGATATCCTCTGACTGGAGAACTGATGCTTGAAAGGATAAGTAAGTACATCATTTTCCATTTTTATTGCATACCTTCAATAAGTACTAAATTGGAAAAATTCTCCGATTTCTAATTGAAAGTGAATAATCATCTCTAATTTCAAATCTCATTTTTAGCTTCCTTTCCTAAGCCTATTTTTTAATTCTAGCTTTGTCCAGGCTCTCAAATGCAGAATTTTGTTTTCGTTGTAAACTTAGTGATCAGGTCAACTTTAAATATTAAAGTATTAAAGTATAAAACAGCCAGCTCAAATAAACCTTGTTTCAGCTATTTATCTTAAAATCTAAAATAAACCTAGAAAAAGTGAATTTATCCTCGAGAACGTTTTCTGCTCTTGATTTGCTTGTGATTATTCATCCTCCTTTTCAGAAGGTTTTTCTAGCCTTATCTTGTAAAGGCAGATTCAATTTCGATATAAATTGGTTGTTTGTTAACATAAAATGGGCTTAATATGAAACTCATAGCTAGTGAACTAGCATAGTTAAATTTAACATTGTTTCAAGCTTTCGCTGTTTATATGCTAATCATTTATAAACCAGGTTAGGCTTTGTAATAAATGTTGTTGCTGACAGTGAAATCAACTTTACTTTGCTATCTGGGAATGTTTTCAATTAATTTTGAAAGCTTTTCAATAATAATAAATTTTTCAGACACTTGTTTTCAATAAGGAATCACTTTTCAATAAATTTCTGAAGGTTTCAAAATTTTCAAAAAACGAGTTTATTTGTTAACCGTAAGGAAAATAGAAAAATTATTAACTGTCCCAAATATATAAAATAGCGATAGCAAAAAATATTAAGGAATGAAGAAACGTTCCTAGAAAACAATTTCAATTAACTTATTTAGTCCGGATTCGATTAAGAAAACGAAAAGTGCATATCGGAAGAACTCAACGATTCAGTTCATGATCTTAGTTCCTCGTAAATAACTTTAACTTTGAGCAAATGGAAATAGTATTATTTGCCCATTCGATAATCTGCCCCTGTATGCATTGAGTAGAAATAACAAAAAAAAGGAAATTAAAAGTAAAGTTTCTACTTTACTTCTAAAAGGTTTTTTCAAGATTTTTTAAAGGTTTTTTCAACCGGGAACAAAAATTCAGTTTGATTGGTGAGTTTCGTTTCTATTACAGTTTTGCTAAGTTATAAAAATATTTTTCTCATTAGCTGGTATGCTTTCATTCTAATGAATGCTTGTTAGCGCAATATTAATATAATTACTTACATTGTATCAAAGCTAGTATCAATGCTAGTTGATACTTTATTGATATTAATGATAGTTCATACTAGTAGATACTTCCTTTTGCATTAATGCTACTTTTTACTAACTTATACTTCTATTCACATTAATGGTACTTCATACTTGCTGATACTTCCATTCACATTAATGGTACTTCATACTTGTTGAGACTTCCATTCACATTAATGCAACTTCATACTAGTTGAGACTTCCATTCACATCAATGCTACTTCATACTGATTGAGACTTCTATTAACATTAATGTGTTCATGCGTGTTGATACTTCCATTTACATTAATGCTACTTCATACTAGTTGAGACTTTCGTTTTGTGATAATCTATTCAAACCTATTCTAAATCTATGGTAATCTATTCTAAATTTGATACGGATGGAAAATGTATTATATTGAATTATATTATATTGAATTCTCATATTATATAGAATTATTATATGATATTGAGATTTTAAATTTGTTGTTTTCTATTCTATTGTTATTCCAATTGATAAAAAGAACAATTCTAATAAAAAGTAAAATTTAAAAGCGTTTTTTTTTATTTCGAATGAAAATTTGATTATTATATTTTTTTTAATTCAGGGAATCAATTAACAGTCGACACATCAGCACCTGGTATTCAAGAAATGGAAAAAGGAGAAGATGGAGTCAAGCTAAGCTTATCGGAACTGCCAACACTTCTGCGCTATTACAGACACAACGCAGAGGCAACTGAAAAAGATCGAGTAGATGAAGGTTATCACAGCAACGGGTCACAGGATGATCCTCTAACACCACCTGAAGGAGGCGAAAATGCCCAGGACGATCCTCTGACTCCACCTGAGGGAGTTACCAATGGCTCACAAGAGGAACCATTTGTCCCATCTGAGGGTTGTGGCAATTTACCCCAAGACGATCTTCCAATGGCAACTGAAGATTGCTTATCTGATGCAGAGTGTGCGTTGGACTTCAGTACGAAAGAAAAACCAAAACCTTCGAATGAAATGCAGGTAACGAGCAGACAAACTCATGAAGAGGATCTTGTGGAAGATCAGACTGAATGTACGTACAGAAAATTTCGCGATGCTAAATTCAAAATGTTTAAAGCACTCAATTACCGGAGCAGCCAAAATAGAAAAAACGATGTTCCTCACACAAATGGTGAAAATGCTCCGACGCAGCTTTCCAATCAGACACTTCCAGAAAAGGAAGCAGAATCTGTTCAGAAGCCTGTAATCGTTATTCCAACTCCCCATCGTCAAGATTCTGCTTCCCAACAGCGAGAAATCCCACCACCTGATGAGAAACAAACTCAGGAGCCCGTTTCTAATTCCCTGCTACATGATGTTTTATCAAAGCGTGGGTTTTCCGCATTCGTAGCGTACGAAAGCAGCTCAGCAAAATCATTTAGATCTGTCATACCTAACAGTCTGCCACTTTCACCACCTAGTTTACCAGCTCACGATGGCATTCCGCCTCCTGGCATATTAGAGAACTTACTTTTGCGCCAGAAAGCGGAAGTGGCAAGATCATCCATAACTGAAGGATCTACTCATATTCCATACCCTCGTCCTCCGCTTTTAACAGAACCAGTTCGAGTTATTGTCTCAAATGAGGTATCGTCACGATCGGAACAACAAATCAGTAGTACACTCCAATCACCCCCTCGTCCAGAACAATCAGTGACATCCTATTCGCCTAAAAAACCTCCCCTTCTACAATATGGCAACTCAAGCCCCCATAGCCCTGATTCGACTGATCATAATTCTGTTTCTGTAAACAGGCATAGTCCTCCTTATCCTTTGCCTGGACCTCCCGCAAATTACGTGTACAGCATGCCACCGATGTTCTCCTCCGCTCATTTTAATATGTATGCCTATTCTCTAACTTCAGAAGGACAGGCCAATGGTTTCGGACCTAAATCTTCAGAATATGCACAAAATCATCAACATAATCAGGCACAATATTATGGTAGAATGCCACTTAAACCGAAATCACCTTATGGTAATAACTTATTAACACCCAGTCATAATAATAGTTTACAGAACTCTCCCCAATCCCCACCCGAAGGAGCATCCTTGATTATGAGCAATTATCAGCAAATGAGAGATCAAGATAATGTCAGTCCAGCGGACTCGTCGAGATCTCATTCTAGCCAGCGGGGATATAGATCACTCCCATATCCATTGAAGAAAAAAGACGGCAAAATGCACTATGAATGCAATATATGTATGAAAACTTTTGGCCAGTTGTCGAATCTCAAGGTACATTTAAGAACGCATTCAGGGGAGAGACCTTTTAAATGCAATGTTTGCACCAAGAGTTTCACGCAACTGGCACATCTTCAAAAGCATCATCTTGTGCACACGGGAGAAAAGCCACACGAGTGCAAGGTTTGCAAGAAACGCTTCAGCAGCACCAGCAATCTAAAAACTCATTTACGTCTTCACAATGGTCAGAAACCATACGCTTGTGATTTATGCCCTGCCAAGTTCACCCAATTCGTACATTTGAAATTGCACAAACGTCTTCACACGAACGAAAGGCCGTTCACTTGTCAGACTTGCAAAAAGAAGTATATCAGTGCGTCTGGTTTAAGAACGCATTGGAAAACTACTTCTTGCAGACCGAACTCTGTGCCTCTGGAAGGCATGGACAAGATATACGATTACATGTCAGGTGAAGATTACAGTAACATAGATAGCAACGAAGAATTGCTGGAGATTATCGATGCTGGTGAGGAAGACAGTCAGCCAGCATCGTCAGGCCGGTCACATTCTGTAAGCCCACCTCCAGTTCTACCACCTATGACTGTTAGACCACCTTCAACAGTCCTTCCCCGCACTGTAGTTCTACCACCCATGGCAGGATCACCACCTTCATCGGTCGGATGGCCGACATCAGCAGGATGGCAACGATCGGGAAATCAGCAATCATCGGTAGGCCGTCCACCATCAACGAGCCGACCGCTATCAGCAGAACGACCACCATCACCTGACGGTTCAGGTCGTCCACCATCAGCAGGACGACCAAATCGACCACCCTCAGCTGGTTGTCTTTCTAGAATGACCCTTCATATTCCTCGATCGAATGCTGAATGTATTATGGCAAATTGAAAAATTGGAGAAAAAAAAATCAATTAATTTATTTCTTTGGGAAAAGCAGGACTTTTTCCTCTCAACTCATCCAGTGATATGAATGCGTAGTTTTTATAGCTGTTATTTGTTGTTATAATTCATTATATGTGTTTGTGTTTTATGTGTACAGAAAAGTATTTTTCATTATTTATTGACTTTAATGACTGACTGGAATTTCTCTAACCCCTGACTTTCATTATTTATAATTTCAACAATTTTTTTTTTCGTTAAACATTTGAGAAAATGTTTGTCTTTTGGTTTTTTTAAGTCATGACTTAAGGATTTTTGTTTTAATCTCGATTTAAAGAAAGTGAAGGAAATTCCTACGAATCATATTAATTAAAAATAAATTGGTTGACAAGTACGAAATGAAAAATATTTTTCAAATATTCTGAAACTTTTCAATTCATTCATTTGGCGAATATTTAAGAGCATTTTGAAGCCTGAAAGTATATTGTGAATTTATTAAAATATAACCCCTTTTTCGATTAATAATATGAATAAAAAATATAATTCTTGAATAATTTTCATTCATTTTATTTAAAACAAAATTTAAATTAATTAAAATTATGAATACTTTTTGTCCCTTAAAAATTACAGTCATTGTTTAAAAATTTCTTAATATTTGCTGAGCTATTTAAAAAGTTTAACGTCTAAATTTTACATACGCAAAATATTTAATTGCTTGATGGAGAAAATTTCAATATTTTTCTTGTTTTAGAATAGTTTTAGAACATACTAACACTGAAATTTTTTCATAATTATTTTTTGTTTATAGTCTATTATAAAAGTTAGTTCACACCTGCCTTTCATAACATCCTTTGCTCTTGATACGTTTTCTCAAGAAAATTTTATCTTTCGAATATATTAGAAATCTTCTTCAAAGCCCTTTTACCAAAATAAGTAAATAAATGAATAGGAAAGTCACAATTTGAGTGTCTTAAACAGGAATCAAAGGTTTAATATTAAATAATCTTTTAATTAATTATAAAATTTACAACATCGTTGAAAAGAAATGCCAGGACTTCAACGTTGAAAAGAATTGCGAATTAAACTTTTCATAAAATCGCCAATTTGGCTTGATTTTTCTTCTTAGTTGAAAATTAACACATTTAATGAACAATTCTCAATTTTTGCATAATTTTATGAGTCTAAACAATACAGCATTAGAGTAACTTTTCAAATTTTTCAAAATTAGATTAAAGCGTTTTTTATTTTCACAAAATTGTGGTTTCTCTTCATATGGACAGTAAGAAACATTTTCATGATAACCGAAAAGGGCGCTGACAAAAAATAGAAGAAGAAACTTAACCTTTGAGTCATGCTTAAATGCTGATAATTCACGTTAATAATAAAAATTACATATTATTCATTAAAAGAACCTTACTTCATATGCCGTCAGATCCTTCGAAAAACAGCCTTAAGATATTTTAAAAAGCTATAATCAATTATTTCAAAAATTGAATTATGACGACATATCCTACGAAAAACAGCCTTAAAGTATTTTAAAAAGCTTTAATTCAATCTTTCAGAAATTGTGTAGATAAATGAAGGAAAATTACGCACAGAATACAATTTAATGAAAACGGCTATTGGTTTCCTTTTAAATAATAGAAAATTGATAAAATAAGTTCGTCGGGTGTTCGGCTTCTTTCAGAGCTGATCAGCATATCATTGCATTAACTTGACTTTCTATCTTGCCTTATTTAAATTAATTGTTACACCAATATGTAGTAACTTATTCAAGTATATGATCATAAAAGCAAATATTATCGCTACTGCTATTATTCTAAAAGGTACCAAACATTGAACCTCTATTAATTACAGTCTGATCAAATTTTGTGTTAAACAAAATTTTTTAAAAAATCCTGAGAACCTTAATCTTTTAAAACATCTTAAAAATTTTGAAACGAAAAATTTTCTTGGGAATTACTTACATTGCAAGTGCTTATGTAACGCACGTAAGCAACCTATGTGACTCCTGTTTATTCAATTCGTCATCTATGAACAGTATTTGAGGGTTTTCAATATTGCAACATAAAAACATATGTTAGAAGAAGTATGCATTCGCTTTTGAGTTTTTTAAATAGTGTTTTTAATAGTGTATTGAATGAGCAGATTCCAATATAAAATTAATTTACTTCCTTTATCATTCATCAAACTCTTCCTAATGTTCTTTTTAGATTATTTTAATCATCTTCATCTTATTTGTCTTTGTTTGTTTTTTTTTTACTACTTTTTTGCTATATTTTCTGTCAAAATTAAAAGACACGAAGAGAGAGAATCACAATTCTGCTTGCATAATTCCTAAACAAAACACTAATCAAAAACTAAATAAAAAAACTAAGTGCTTATACTCAACTACTTACGTAATTAAACTCTAATCTTGCTAATTTAATGTTCTAAAAGCTATTTTTCATCAAAAGTTTATATTTTAGCATATTTTTAAATCGATCGATTCAAAATGCAATCGATCGATATTGATAATTATTTTAGAGATCGAAAAAAAATTAAATATTTTTTAAATTTTGTTTTAGCTACAGAAGAAAAATTACTTTTTATTGACGAATAATTCTCTTTTTAGTTGTCTAAAATATTTTTTTAAACGCAAAATTAACATAATTTGCATTTACTAATTCCAACCATTAATTTTAATAACATTTAGTATAGTTAATTTATAAACACTAACCTCGTTGCAGAAAACATACGATTAACAGAAAAAACAGCGATCTTGAAAATGGGCAAATTTAGAAAAATATTTTTCGTTTATACTCCTTTTTTCATTTCAAATAAATACGAAAACTGATTGAGAGGCAACTTCAGGGGGAAATGTGACTTTCTACGACTTCGAATTCTAAAGAATTAATTCCCCTTACGTAAATGTTATGAAAAATGCATTACATTTACTTAGCATTGATTAGTTATATTTAATCTTAATAACTTTATTAATAAATTTTAACATTAGTTTGAATAAGAATTAAGTGTTTTTCTCAATTTAAATCATCAATCAATTGCATTTAAAAATAAATGGAGCTAGATATCAATTGAATTTTAAGTTTAAACAAATGATATTTTTTTACATAAAAATTAATCAAAAATTAATCTGTTATTAATCAAAAGAAATTGCTTTAAGATTATTTAACATTTATTAGCTTTTTTTAATCTTATTAAACATTAGTTATAAAAATTCATTTATTTTCTATGAAATAAACATACATTCAGATGAATTTCATTAAATTGACTAAATAACATCTATATTTAAGTAAAAATTTTAACCAATTATTAAATATAAAAATAAATTACTTTTTTTTATTATTGATTAGTTTCATTTAATCTAAATAAACATCATTATTAATTATAACATTACGTTAAATACCAGTTTATTATTTTCCTTAGCTTAAATAAGCAATCAGGTTAATTTTAGTAACTTGTCGAAATAACTATTTTTTAACATAAAAAAAATTAAATCGCGCATTATTTTTGGAACTGACATCGAATTTCCGAGCAGAATTGTGATAGGTAACTTGTAAATTGCCAAAGCTGTATATAGTAGGACTTTGTGATATAATTGATGATGAAAATTTGATTGTGAAATGTTTTTTCCATGCATAAATTATATTTCTGCAAAATCAATATCATTTAAATAACTAGCGTTTCAGTAAATCAATAATACTTCAAAATTATTTATGTGTACTGGTAACAAAAATTCTGAACAATTACTTAAAAAGGGAAAAAAAGAATTTTTTTTTTCTGGAAATTAGAATTGATTGATTTCTGGATATTGTAAATAATATACCCTTAACTTTTTTTATATCTGTAAAGAGCAATAATATATTTTATCTAAATCTGTTTTTAATAGTGATTATCTCAACAATTTATTATAACAAACTTTCCACCATCTTAATTTTGAAATAAAATTCAATTTTAAGCAAAAACGTTTTGTTCTCTATAATATGTATGTTCTAATATTTTGTTCCATATAATCTATATATATTTAATATAACAACTTTATAATTATTACTATAATACTACAGATCTTTCTTAAATATCGTCCTTTTTTGTAGTTTAAAAAACATTTTTACAATCCTTGCAGAAAAGTAAACATTAACTATCTGAAGAAGTCTTAAACGATATTTAATGTTATTAAATAAAAAAATTACAAAAAAAAACAATTACATTATGGAGGTCATAAATGCTTTTAAATGGTGAAATAAAAAAAAAAGTTTATTAAAAAAATTGTTAAGAAATATACCACTAACATAATGGAGGTCATAAACGATGTTTATTAGCGAAATCCACTAAAAATTTATCTAAAAATATTGTTAAATGCTATTGTCCTTCTTTAAAGAGGTCATTAACATTATTTAATAAACAAGTCTCCTTTCCTTAATGACTATGAAAAATCAAAAAAAAATTATTATTGGTTCTGACTATTCGATTGCCTTTAAAACTTTTTTTGATGGCATTAGATTGAAATTAAAAGTAAATAGCCTTCGCAATTCAAATTTCTTTTTGAAACAACTTTTTATTTTTTATCATTTAAACCATTTAAAGTTTTAAAAAAGACATTTAAAATGGCTGGGACTAAAAAACACTCTTTTGTAATTTATCAATATACTATGCATGGAAAAAAAAATAAGATTATGTGATTGTGGTTTTCTAACGTGTGTGAAGATAAAAACAATGAGAAGAAATCGAGGAAGAGTTTTTTAAAAGACTTCGAATGAGTTTTTCTTATGTAAATGAACATGTAAATAATTTATATATTCCTAAACACTCTTTTATGCTTCCAGGTTATGGTGATGTAAATATGTAGGTAAAGGAATGTTTTTAAATCGCACGGTTTCAAGATCAAATATCTGAGTATTAAAAAAGTCTATGAAAAGTGTAGAATGTATAGAGGTAGTGTTTAGTATGGTTAACTTATTTTAAATTATTGAATAGTTAAATAAATGATGATGTATGATTAATCATTGTATTGATAAAACTATTTTGAAATTTTTAATTTATAACGTTTTTTTGATGATAAGAAATTACGTTTCAATTTTTTGGAATATAATAATATAGTATTCCCATTTTAGTTTCATAAAACAATATCATTCCTTTTACACTGTTAACGCATAATTTTATTTTATATTATAAATAAAATACTGTTCGTACTGTTGTTGATATAATGCTTGAACACACTTCGTTGACCTTTTGCTGGCTGTCTGCCAAAATTTTTGCAGATTTAAAAATATTCGAATGTTAAAAGAGAGTGTAGATATTGTAGAACGCTTTTACATTTTAATTTTTTTATCACTCGTCGCTTAATTGAACACCGAAACATGAGAAACCACTTAATAGATCTTTTTAAAACAATCTAATTATCTTCTAGTGCAGTTTACTATTTTTTAATTCCGGTAATATTTTCCATTCCTATAAGCACTTTATATTTACTACTTAGACGTGCATTTTTAGCTACAAAATCTTACATTAAATTTTTTGAAACGTTGCAATAATTT